CCCGACCCGTTTACTTAGTACGTTTTTGAGAAACGGGACCTATAGTGTAAAAACACCATAGGTGCGTTTTAGTAAAAGTGTATTAATTAATTAGAACGAAAACTGACTAATTTTTATTTTTTTTGACTTTTACATTACTCTTGAGTTACATTATATACGTCATTTCTCATAAACTTACATATATTTCCCTTTTTGTTACTATGAAATTTTCAATTAATCATTTAATTAATCATCTCATCCGTCATTACTTTATTACACCATATTTAACCATAGTAAGGGAAAGCCTGGTATTGTCATGCCGAGTTTAACTCTGATGGTTGACGTTAGAAGGGTCACATGATTTGGTAATAAATTTATGATATTCGGATATTTATGATTTATTAGGCATTTTTATAAAAAAAGAATGTGAATATACGTGACCTTTATTTATAGAGAAATTTGGGAGAGCGAATGTTATCGATGAAGACACACTCTTATATATGTATAGAGATCTCAGGCGCAATGATTACAAGTTTATGTAAGCGTGCATGCTCGCCATTTGGAAATTAGCAATATACCAAGAATACATGGCACAATTATGGAAGGTGAGTGACAACTTAAAGAATTAAACAAATACGGAAGTGAGAAAACACAGGGAAAATTAATCGTTACAATATCGATGCGCCCGATCCCGATCGATTGCCCACATATCCCCAGAGACATTATTACTACAATTTTGATTCTCACTATTACTTCCACTTTAATAAGCCAATATTTCTTTCTTCTTATTTATTTTTCTTCATCTTGTACCAAATAGTTGATTTTATCTAACGTGCTTGCAATCAAAAATATTAAAGTCAGCTCAAAATTTTATTTTATTTAATTTTGTTCTTATTCAATGTGTTTGCTAAAAAATTTTCTTTGTTATTTTTGTTATAATTATTTTAAGTCAAGAGTTACATTTTAAATTAACGTTTAGTATCCAAAATCGAACCTAATTTTAGGTTCAATTTTCGGATTCCGAACCCAAATCAGGAACAGCTGAACCGGGAACTAAAAAATCGTAGAGTATGGCTTTAAGGCTTCCACTTCGTTTCCCTCAGCTCCAGCCAATTACTCGGCGATTCCAAAAAGTCGTATGCAAATATGTTAAACAAAATATGCAAGGGTTGTCGATCTTGCATAATCCCGAAGGTTTTAGTAGCTTAACAATAAAGTGTCGCGCTAATGCGGTTAGATAAGTTTTAATTTTTGATAAGAAAATTATATTTATTAATATGCTAAACGAGTGTGAAGATTTTTTGAATGGTTATATTAGCATAGTAAGCATATCATAAATTCTCTATAATATGAGCATAACATGAGAGCGAAAACGCTAATAAATTTTTCACAAAAAAAAAAACTTTTTTTTAGGCCACACAAAGTTGTTTTTTTTTGTGTCAATTATTCTATTTTTGTCATTTAATTTTTTTCAATAGGGACGATTGCCGACCCAATTTTCTGATTACATGTTATGCAAAGCAAAAAATTAACTTCGCGTGGCCTTAAATGTGAACATGAGTCTTTAATTTTCTTTAGATTATTAAAAAAAAAAAAAATCCAAGAATTTTGAAATCCATGTAACGCAAAACAAAAAAATAATTTTGTGTGGCCTGCCTAATATAACGAATTTCTCTACCGGTATAAAGATAACGAGCTTAAAATTTTAAATTTTATAAAAGTTCGGTCTATAAAGTGTCATGGGCTTTTAATAAAATATACTAATTCTATAGTGAACCTGTTTTTTTCCAGAATCTCAATTCGTTATATCACAAAAGCTAGCTAAGTAATTAATTCTGGGTGTTCTAAGTAAAACTGTTCAGCACCTCAAAAAACCTTTTATTAATCTAAATTTTACCTCTAGTACTACCCTTACCTTAACTTATAACAGAGCGAAGCTATAAAAAATGTATGTGGTGTTGAACACCTTTGGTGTAATTTATTGATTTTTTTTTATATGATAATTAAAGTGACGTTAAAGTACTAAAAAAAAATTTTCCTTACGAAATAAAAATAAGTTATTTAAACGATAAAGATAATATTAAAAAAGAACTTTTTTTAAGGTCACCTAACGATAATGTTATTGTGAATACTTCCTTAAATATAATAATTTATGTAATATTGGAGGTCTATAATAATAACAGCAACCAAAAAAAAAAAATTGGGATTACAGTATTTTACATTAACTTAACGATTTTTGCTAGTGAAACGTTACTTCGCGATGTATTAACCGGGCAATTGAGTAACCACGTGGGTTTCCGTTAATCAATCAGATATAAATGTTCTTACGTAAGTACATACGTACATACGTACATCGTAAAAAATTTTGTAATATCCTATGGATTCTTTAAATAGGTATAAAATATTATCATAGCGATATATATTAAGACTACGAATATAATACTTCTCTAGTACGAAAAAATTTAATTAAAGTATTTTAACAGGCAACCTCGATACCTTGGCGTTACTCAGCCGGCTTCTTTAAGCTACCCAACTCCTAGAGAGATTAATATCTCGGATTTACTAATCCAGGAACTCTTAATACAAGGAACGTTTGAGAGTAAAGAAGAGACCAGGCGACGGTATGGTAAACGATAAATATTATTTTTCTTATTTAAAGAGGCTAAAACCATATTTTAATATATATAGTGAAGTCATTCTAGACAAATTCGACAAACTTGTAAAAGTGCTTATTTTCAATATAAGTCGGGAAAAAAGACTTTCTGAAATCGATGCTAAAGAGGCAGGGGGTAAAATTTTCACTTTCGGATCATACAAGTTAGGAGTTTATGGAACTGGTACGAGTTTAATGTCGTTTATTTGTTTTTCTATTCATGTATACGAATAACTGAAGTATGGAAATTATCTTAGGTGCTGATATCGATATACTCTGCGTTGCCCCTAGACATATAACTCGGAATGATTTCTTTTACTATATGCATAATACACTAAATAATTTTATTGAAGTAAGCGAACTGACTGTAGGTACATTTTATATTTATGAAAAGCCTTGAGTGTAGTGTAATGCTATAATAATTACTTTGTTCTTATTTAGAGCGTTATCGATGCCTACGTTCCAGTTATAAAATTAAAATTTCAAAATATTCCGGTTAGTTTGCTAATTAATTAATTAATTATTATTATTGTTATTGCGTTGTTCTTTGTCAAGCAGTTTGATAATATTCATCTCGATCAATAGATTAACTTTGTTTTTGCAAGATTAGAGCTTGCTAAAATTCCTTATGAACTTGATATCACAGATAATTCTCTTTTAAAAAACTTGGATGAAATGTGCATCAGAAGCATGAATGGTGATTAAAGTCTCTTAATGTTATGGCAGGCTGATGGTTTACTAAAAATTCATTAATTTATATTTATCAGGATCGCGTGATGCTTATGAAATATTACGTCTTGTTCCAAGTCTACCAGCTTTCCGTACATCTTTGAGATGCATAAAATTTTGGGCAAAGAGTAATTTTTAGGAATATTATTTATATATTATTATTATATATATATATATTTATTTATTTACGACATTATAATTAATCATCTAATTTATCTAATTTCCAGGACGTGCTATATATTCTAACGTGATGGGATTTTTTGGAGGTGTCGCATGGGCAATTTTGGTTGCTCGAATTTGTCAACTATATCCAAATGCTATAGCTGGCGCGATCGTTTCTCGATTTTTTAGAATTATATATCAATGGTTAGTGTAATTTTGATTCTTTTCCTTGCATTATAAATAATTAAAAGTTTTACTTTGGAAATTACCAATAAATAACAGGAAATGGCCTCATCCTGTGTTTTTAAAACCAATTGAAGATAGTCCTCTTAATTTCAGAGTGTGGAATCCAAAGGTATAGTTTCTACATATTTATTATATGTGAAATATTAAATATTTAGTAATTTATTATTATGAAATTTGCAATTGAATTATTTATTATACATTTAACTATATTAATTTCTTCTAGATATATCATGATGATTTGTTTCACTTAATGCCAATAATTACTCCCGCTTACCCTTCAACATGTGCAACGCATAATGTAACTCAATTCACTAAAAAAATAATGGAAAGAGAGTTTGGACGAGGTAATTAAAATTTTCTTCGTTTCTTTACCGTATTTTTATATACTTATTTATCTCTTATGATTCAGCCGTTGAGATTATGGATCACATAATAGCCGGCACAAGAAAATGGTCTGACCTTTTTGCAAAACATAATTTTTTTGGAAGATATCATTATTATCTACAAATTATAATATTATCTGATTCTTCTGAAAAACATTTGAAATGGTATGTATTTTTGTGTAATTGATAATGATATTTATTCTTTTATTAAAGCTGATATTTTATTGGAATTATTAGGACTGGCAGAGTAGAATCCAGAATTCGTTACTTAATATCAAAGCTGGAAAAAATAGAGAATCTTGCTTTAGCACATCCTTTTGCGAAGGGGTTTAATAATATTCATCATTGTATAAATGATCAAATGATGAAGGATGTGATGCATGGGATTATTGATTCAACATCAATCAATGATAAAAACAATTTTGTATTATCGCAAAACTTACAACATGTCTCAGACACAGCAACCATTCGTGTTATATATACTACTACTTTTTACATTGGTTTGGAAATCGAAAGTAAGTGCTATTTACAATTTTTAATTTCATTTCAATTACCAAATTTTCATTCTATTGCTATAATTTATGATTTATAATTTATAATTTATATTTTATAATTTATATTTTATAATTCTAGCTGGCTCTATATTACCCAGACAATTAAATATTACGTGGCCGACTCAGGAATTTATAAAATTAGTAAAAGGTTGGGACAAGTACGACGAAAAATCTATGGGTATTAATGTAAGATACGTTAAAAGGTATTGTGTCAAGTATATTTGTGTTCATTGAAATCATGAAATCATCATATGTTATTACAACTACGATTCTATAATATCCAGCGCGGAGTTACCTTCTGAGGTGTTTAATGATGGTGAACATTTGTTAATGCACAAGAATATTCGCTCTTGAAGATTAAATAAATGAGTAGCATTTATTTTTGACATTTAAAAGTAAGTCTTGTTCGTTATGGCACGTATGAATTCTGTGCTAGGTATGCAGATCTTGTGGCGAGATCCTATTAATAAATTCGAAAGTTTTTTAAAACTTTTAGCGATGGTTTCTCAATAGATACTTGACCAAATTCAGTAAATTTTCGAGAAATCATCGTAAAAGTTAAAAAAAAAAAAACTTAAATATCTTGAAAAAATAAAAAAAGCCAAAATTAAGTAAAATTTTCCTTCTTTAAACTTTAAGTAAAATTTTCCTTCTTTAAACTTTAAGTAAAATTTTCCTTCTTTAAACTTTAAGCAAAGATTTTCATCAGCCAACTATTCAAATTTGATAAAATAAAATAAAATAAAAAAATTGATCGAATTTGAATAGCGGATTGTCGAGAAATATTCATTAAAAGTTAAAAAAAATTTTGGGCTTAGCTTTTTTTTTTTATAAGCGTCTAGACATTAAACGAAGATTACTCAACACTTACCGGGTCAAATTGGATCAATTTTTTTATTTTAAAATAAAAAAATTTCGATCGATTCGATAAAATAAGTGACGAGTAATATTCAATGTCTAGACGCCTATAAAAAAAAGCTAAGGCCAAAATTTTTTTTAACTTTAATGAATATTTCTCGACAACCGCTATTCAAATTCGGTCAATTTTTTTATTTTATTTTATTTTATCAAATTTGAATAGTTAGTTGTTGAAAAATCTTTGCCTAATTTGCCTAAAGTATAAAGAAGGAAAAATTTACTCGATTTTGGTTTATATTTTTTAAGTTTTTTATAAACTTTTACGATGACTTCTCGATATCGATTGACCAAATTCAAAGAACTTTTTTTATTTTAATTCTACAAAGCTATAGAATCAAAATAAAATTTTACTGAATTTGGCCAAGTAGCTATTGTGAAATCATCCTAAAAGTTTTCAAAAACTTTCGAATTTATTAATAGGATCTGCGCCACAGAATCTGCACAGAATTCATACGTGCTTCGTTATGTAGTAAATTTTGTATGAAAAATATTTGCATTATCTATAAGATATTGTTCATGTGATGAAAAAAATATCAGGGTTAATGTCATTTCATAATTGTGCAGTGAGATTTCTTGCTATTTTTGAATAACCAATAATGAACTTTCGACATAATGCAGTAATGGAGACTCGATATAATAATTACGGAATTACTTGATGTAGTAAAATACACATGGTATAAGTCATAGTGAGGATTTTCTTCTCAACATGATAACTTCATTATAACAAGGGTGAGTTGTATTAGTAATTAGTATGTAACGCTTTCGTGATATTTTGCACAAATAGTATTAATTTCATGACAAAATATCAAGACAAAAAAATCACATCACATGAAAATAACTTTAAATATTTCTGATTATAACATTATAACTAATTATAGATATGTATTATTAAATATTAGGATAATTTTCGTTGAAACAGATAGATTTCAACATAATTAATGTTACTATCGTTTAGGAGAAAAAATTATATATGACAGTATATCGTAAATAAGGAGAAAACGTCATAATCAAATTTATTTTTTTAATTAATCAAACTTCGATTGTTCATACTCTAGTCAATTATCATTTAATCTATAATAATTTATAACGCTTTATAATAAAATATTATATATATATAATATATACAAGATCAAAATTTAATTTTTCTGTGGTTATAGATTATTATTTTAGGTTAGCGAATTGAATTCAAGCATGTAACCTTGTTTATACAAAAAATTTGTGACGATATCTATAAATAATAAAAATCGGGAATTGAAATTTCGTATAACAAACTTTAATTACATTTTCTAAAACCTCCCTTCAGACAGTGATTTTCCTAGCAGACAACCCACATATACCGTACGGCACTGACTATAGTACCCGGTGTGACACGACTTTTTACATAGTGAAAAATTAAAAATCACGTGCATTACACAATTGTTTACATCACATGTTACATATAAATAATATTTTAAAAAATTGATCTACTTTATTTGTCACAACGGTACTATAGTCAGTGCTATACGGTATATATTTTTATAGGGAAACATTTTGGCATACCACGGTAAATTAGCATGCCAATAGTGACATATTGATGGAAGACACACTCTAATTACAGAAATTTATATAAAAAAAGAGCATATAAAATATTCTCTAATTTTCTCCTGGCTTTGTCACTTTGTAAATTGGGAAACCAGGATCCGAACAATTATGATCGTGTCATACGTCGATCCGAGGTGAGGAAGGAATCTATCTAAGGCTAATGATACTGACAATTGGTTATCATGCAATTTCCGAATGACGGACGAATTGACAAATGGCTAAACCTATGATGAATTATGATGAATAACGAAACTGATGAAGCATGTGAATATCATTATTTTCTCTGAAAAAGGCTTTACCTTCCGGAGGTATCCGATTAGCTGATGAAGAAAACAAATTACAGCTGTTACTAACATAGTTTCTGGAACACCTGATAAAAATTTTCCAACTGATTTTTTTCAGTCGTTCGAATGGGCCAAAATGTCCAATCGGAACATTGTGATTATTAAAATGATATAAAATTTATATAAAAACTACATAATAAGATCCATAAAGCAAAACTATATCAAAAACTGATAAGTAACTGATAAGCAAATCATAAGGAATATCACTTTAATTACGCCAAACCTTGTATATGTTTTATTTAAACATTTTTAATTCATAATAAAAACTCTTACATGTAATCTCATACTTGTTCTGCAGATAGATTTATCGTTTTATAATATCGAAACAATCAACTATTAATAATTTATTAATCTAGTATGATGAAATCACTAACTAGGGATGGCTATTATCGGCTTAGCCACGTTACAGCGTATCCCGTGATCCAGTAATCCAAATTGAATGATTTTAATCGAATGATACTAAAATCGTCCGACTTGGATGAGATACGCTAGCGGCTATACACGGCTAGCCGATAATAGCTGTCCGAACCCATCACTATAACTAATGCTAACTTCACCGGATCGGCCAAAAAACATTCGGCAAATCTTTATCAGGTGTTCTAGAAATTTATAATAGCTGTAAAAAAAACTTCCATTTTTAGCGGAATAACATTACAGTGCTTATTATTTTATTATTATTTTATTTTATTTTTTTCAAGGTATTGTTGGGGTATGTTAAGTGATATTTATTATTATTATTATTATTATTTAACAAAATAATATGCCTAATATGGAAATTATTAAAAATATTTTGCCTCATTTTACTTTATCCGAATATTTCCATATTTTTTGTGAAAGCTCCGTGAATCTGCAACATGATCGACAAAATATAGACAATCCGGATAATCTACATGATTTACGGTTATAAATTCCGTGAATATGCGGATGTCAAAATTAGATTAGCAAATGGTTGTGAACTGCTACGGATGAAAAGGACAAAAGTTTATTTACATTATAAAAATGATTGTAATGCAACTCGCCAAAGGCATAACTTGATGATTAAGCACGATATTTTTGAGGGAACGTTTATTTAATTTATGAGAATAATAAAAACTTATTTCATCATTACAAATGTGTAATCCGAAGATTATTTTAACAACGGCGAAAATTCATCACCTTATAGTTTTCAAGAAGGATAAAGGAGCTATACTAACTGTTTAAAATTTTTCAAAGCCATACGTTTCGATACCTCACCTGATAAGCGACTTTAATATTAAGATATATCATGCGTAACAAAAAACATCTCATGACGTGTTTGTAAAATGAGGTCACTAAATATCATATGACGTGATTACTATCTAATGGTGCTAAGCCTGGCACATATGTCATAATAATTCAGGATTAGACACAGCCTTTGAATATTGAAGTATCGTGATCTCACAGAGAATCTGGCGCAGTTAAATTGATCATATTGAACCTAGCTGCCGCACAAAAAATGCGCGGCAGATCCTCGATTTTTATTGGCTAACGGCCGAGGATCTTCAAAATTTTGGCCTGCATTACATA